ACAGTCACATCTTTCTGCAGCCTCTGGTAGGTTTTCTTATAAGATGATCCTATATTTGGCTCCATCCCCAAAGTGTGATGCTGCCACTAAAGTGTTTCACTGTGTGGATAATGGTCAGATGCAGTGTTATTTTTGTACCAAACTCAATAAGAATAATAACTTTTATTATTATTTTTGCATGACAGCAAATAGTAAATAAATGAGCACCTTCTTTTGTGTTTTCTGTATCCCAGGTATATCTAATGGTGGACCAGAAATATAATGTATTTTATTTCACTTAAATCAACAGCCTCATTCTTTTTTTCTATGAAAACCAGATCTAATGAATAATAATTCTCCATTAGACTAGATTCTCCCACCTATATGCTCTTGGGTTCCTCCCTTGGTCTTCATGACCTTTACTAATAGAGAGGATTTCTGAAGGTAGATGTTTGGACTGGGTTTTCTTTTGTCAAATAACAAAGGGCCAAACATTCGCCCATGTTAATCATACAAAATTTAGAAAACCACATTACATTTTCCTCTATCGCATGCAATGCTTATTAAAAAATTTGAAGTTTGTGGATGTAGTGTGAAATTTCTAAAAGTTAAAGGGGTAAATCCTTTAACAAACGCTCTTTGCACTAACTATTGTTTGGATCACCATATATTTATATGACTCATGCAATAACTTGTTCATTAACCGTGTCTGTGAGCCCCAGCAGCAGCAGCAGCTACAGACTATGACTAAACACAGTATGAGCTGGCTGTATATAATAATAGAAACAGAATATATGCAGAAAACTGGGCTGCCAAGGCCTAGATTCATTTTTTGTTACTTTTAAATAATAACAATTAGTGCTTGCATTTGTCTGCTAATATTTAATTAAAGTTAATAAAGAGAAAGAAATAAAGTTAATGTATGTGGGTATTCATTGGCTCCCAGTGATTGTTAAGGATATGATGATTGAAAACGGAACTGAATTTAATGAGTTAATTAGTTTAAGACAAAGTTAGAAGCAAAAACTGCTTTCTAGATCCTAATGCTTAAAAGGATGGCTTGTTCTGCAAACTCATCTGCACCTGCTGTCCCCCCCCCAACCCCCACCCCAAAAACTTACTCAACAGCTAAATGTGATGATAGATGACCACATGGGCTATTAGGAAGAATATTGCACCTCATTTCAGTTTTATGGTGGGCTGTATTTCTTGGAACAGGAGTCCACACAGACAAGGAGGTAAATCAATTGAATGACACTGAGGACAGAGGCACATATTTCCAGAAACTCATCACGTCTACAGCTGGTCTGAGATCTGCTTATTTAGCCTTTGAGAGTGCAGAGCCAGAAATAGAACGTATGAAGGATCTTTCTGTGGAAAACAGTTTGGGTAATGCTGTCTAATTACTTTAGTGTAATTGGGTTCTTCTGCTAGCTAGCCTTCCTATGCGGTTTTGTCTTATTTGCATTTTGGAAATTTCCATTTCATAAGCGAGACCTCTTACAGGTCATTCCTGTTATGCATGTGAAATCAAGACAAAACTGGCATTGTCCATGCTGCACCACATCCAAAACGGCAATGGATAGGGTCATACATACCACTTTCTTTTGTTTTACAGATACATTTTTAAAAAGTAGCATTGCATTTGTAGTCTACCCCCGTCAATCTGATTCCCCTCAATAAAATCAAAAGCAATCCTGTTTAGCCACAAACTACAAAGACACCATAAACCTTTAAAAGAATGTGGTCTCAGATACTAAACTTAAACAGTGTGGCTTTAGCGATATCACTCAGAACTCGCCATTTTTAGAAGTGGCAGCATCATACTGTGGGGTTACTTTTCTTCAACTGATAAATGGAAGTTGGATGAACCTAATACAGGGCTTTCCTCGAAGAAAATTAATTAACGGTGAAAATAGCTACATTCAGGTAAAATCCAACCTGCTTCTTAAACAATAAAGTCGTCCGTATCTCCAGAAGGTTTACCTGTTACCTGTTTTTTGGGTTAAAAAGCACCATGATGTGTATGAAATGTTTTCTTTGATTACCAGCTGGATTCTCCTTGTTGCGTTTCTGTTCCACAGCGTTGCATCCAGCTCTGCTCGGTTCTGGTAAAGTCCTCCCCAAGGAGACGTTTTGTTTTGCTTTCAGACGCCTGACTGGCAGCCTAAATGCATCTGCAGAGGCCTGCGAGGAGACGAACAGCAGGACAACGTTGTGAGCGGAAAACAAACAGTATTGATTCTGCTGGACTCAGTAGTGGGATCAATCATTATGACATTTACTGGGAGCTCCGTGAAACCTGGACTTTGGCTTTAGGTTTCTGCCTGTGACTGAAATCTGAAATTATTCATGTCATGCAGCAACGCTGAGATAATAGCATTGATGGGACTGTTTGTTGGAAGGATAACCAGATGCATAAGCCTTCTGGGTGCAAAGTTAATTATGGAAGGTACAATATATAACTTTTAATGGAGAAATATTTCTTATTGTCAAAACACAGAAAATGACAAACTACAATACGTTTGTTTGTTTTTATAGCATGTAGCAGATGTTGTTTTGACTGGAAAAAGTCTAAAAAAGAAATATTACTCCACTTGCCTAAAGCTCTGAAACGCTAGAGACCAGCTGGAAATCAAAATGAAGCAATTAGGTTTCAAAAAAGAAGAAAGGTAAAGATTCACAGCTGTTACTAGATAATCCATCCATCCATTTTCTATACTCACTTATCCTTGAGGGTGATGGTGGGATGGAGCCATCATCAGCCATCTCTGGGTATGAGGTAGAATACACCCTGGATAACACACTGTAACACAGAAACAAACAACCATGAGCTCAAACATAAGGGCAATTAAGAATAACTTGCTACAATTGTATTTGTGCTTCAATGCTGGGTTTGCCCTTATGATATATTTAAGAACATTTGAATTATGTCTACTGCAAAGAAGCAAGATAATATTTGAAATTCTTTAAAATGTCTGGCAGAGCAGACCTTCTCTCTGTTTGGCAGGAACAGGATTACCCAGCAGACCCCACCCTGCCGCCTTCACCTCATCATGACCTGCCCGGTCACCCACAGACTCCCCTTCTGAACACAATCCTCACTGGATTTCCCTCACCAGCACTGACCTAGCAGGAACTCCAAATACAAAGCTTAAAACAGGATTCTCAGAACAGAAACTCTCTCTGGTACCTGTAGCAAATAAACACAATTCAAAGAAAGATTAAGATTCGCCTGGCAGTTTTTCAGATTTCTTTCGGGTTGCAAGAAATGTGCATGCATTTATTTACAGTACAAATAATTGTCATGCTTCTTCCTTCCTCAAGCACTTCATGACTGAACTTGATTATGATCTGATCTGCATGCAGAAACTACCTGCATGTCATTACCCGGCATCAGCAGCTTACATGTTCAAGATTTAAAGGTCACATAATATATCTCTATGGTAATCAGACACTATGGTATTGCAGTACAACACTCCAGGACGTGTGCCTGATGTTAACATAAACTATTATGTGTCAACATATTCAAATAAAAAATGAGCCTGGAATGGTTTGTAATTACCAATCAGTGACTCATAATGCTGGAAAACAATTACATAATCAATAATAGATGAAGATAAAAAAAAAAAACAACTTAAAATTCCAAAATGAATAAAACAAACAAAAACAAACATTCAGAAGGTAAAGTTTTTTGCTAATACATCTTTGGATGTACATATACAGGAGAAACAAACTGCAACATCTATTAACACCTTATTAAAAAATAGATAATTCAATAATTAAAGCCAAACTGAGTACATACAGCCTTGCAGCTTTCATAGAATCTGAGAGAAAATAACTGGCAGAAAACTACAACCGCCTTTCAAACTAAAATTTTCTAAAGGTTCCACGCTGGAAAAAATATTAGCAATGACCTTAAAGAAAACATGTTGCGTCCCACAAATAAGAGATGTCCTATATGGCTATTTTCAAACTATTTTAAGGGCATTTATGTAAGTTTGGCCTCTTTTCACTGTCCTGTGGGGTTACTTTTAATATTTCTACATCAGTTTTCAACAAACTAAAGCTAAATCGGAGTCAACAATTTTAGCTTAATTTTTCATGTAAACCACAGCAAGTAAGACGTGACAGAGTTTGGATTTAACAGTAGTGGTTGGTTTAGTGAAGCATAGAAAAGAAATATCCTTACTGACAAAGCTGAATATTGAATCAAATTCTTTATTGTTCTATCTCTCTGAGGATCTGCGGTTTGCTTTGCAGAATGAAAAAATGGACACTGCTTCCCACATAAGTTAAATTACTTTTTGCTTTGCAACTAATACAATAGTTGAGCAGCTGTTGTCTATGGAAGATCCTCGTATCACCTTTTGTCCTGATAGTTCCCAACACACACAAACACAAACAACCATCTGTACAAATATTCATATATTCACACACATTGTAGCATCGTGCAAAGACACACAATTGCTGCTATAAATAGTTAACACTGTGCTTGTCTTCATAAGATATTTCTTGCAGTCAGTTCCTATTATTTTGCAGCTTCTGTCTCACTTTTACCTCCCCAGTTTATTTTCTCCTCTCCTCTCCTCCAGCTCCTTCTCAACCTGGCTCTCCTGGCTCTCCTCCCTCAGTCGGAATACAAATAACCCTCTCTCCTCCTCTTTCGCATCTCTTTCCGTCCATCTCCATTTTTTTTTACTCCTACAACAGTTCGTGTTCCCCATAAATTTTCTCTGCTTGAATTCTTGCTCCTCATCTTCAGGCATGACTCATAGACTTTACCCCCTCCTCTCCCTCATCCCTACATCTCTGCACTCTCTCCTGGGCGTCTGCTTAGATTTTACCACTTTCTTGCTCTTCCTGTTTCTTCCTCTCTTTCTTATTCTTCTTTAGGCCCCTCTATTCTTTTTTTTCCCGTCGTCATCACCGAAAACCTCCCATGTGTTTTTCACCCCCTTTCCAACTACTTTAAATTGTTAAATCTGAGTCAACAGTTCTGCTCTGAGCCGAGTAATGGACTGGATATGCAAATATAAAATCTTTTTTTCATTGCCCCTCAGCACCTGCAGTACGTCGTCATGGTGATCTCCCTTTAAATGTCAAATTAAAGTAAGTTTTTACCTGCAATGTTGAATTTCAGATGCATCTTTAGTGTCTTCATATTATTTAAGGTCATGTCAGATAAGTTAAGGAGTTCATCCTGCATCAAGTCCTCGTAGGTTTTATATTAGCTCCACATCTTGGGGCTAAAAGCAGTGACTCATTCTGTCTTGGGCATTTTTAGTCCATTGTCTGACTGTTACCTGCTCTCTTAAACAGGTACAGAAAGCATAAATGCACTCAAGAGGTAAGAGTGGAAAATTCTTGGTTCTAATAAGATCCTACACACATTTAGCATGTAGGTCTCATGGATTGACCGCTCACTGAATATCGATTAGTAATGCAGAGATATTTAAATAGAACTCTTGGGTATTAGTGACTTTTAAGTCAGAGGTAATTTTCTGAGATAGATATAAAAGCCACCTACAAAAAAAGATGTTTTATTGCAGAAGCATGTCTCAGAAAGTTGAGAAAAATTAAGTCTCACATTGGGGATGCTAAGATAAGAAAGAAAAATCTCCAAAGTCCATTCTTAAAGACCTGCAGCAAACAATGGCATCATGAGGTCCCAAAGTCTCCTATCAGTTCTCTAAGCTTCTCTTAGGAAAGAACAACATTTTTCTTTCTTTCAGAAAATCACAAATGTGAACATTGTATTCACAGAACATTACTGGGACATTAAGTGGAACAGTGTTCTTTGGCCAATAGGCAGCACATTTCCTTGGGCATGTTGTGTCATGTACAGAGAAAACAGCCAACAGTTCCTATTTTTGACTTATCAGCCAAGAAACATAATACAAGGCAAAGTGCTGTCCAACTACTAATGGGTGTACAAAATACTAACAACAGAAGAGCATGTAATTGTGGAACTGCAATTTCCTAGTAGTCCCCACTCCTGAGTAAATGGTCATAAATTAAAGTTTTCTAAATCGGTCACTGTGCAGTTATGTCTCTATAGTAAAAGACAATTTAATTTTAAGGCTTTTCATCTTTACCAGAAGGGCTGGTAAGTTATGAGGTTCCAGTAATATAAACTTCCACTTCACATTTGTGATGTTGATGTCTTTTTTTTTTGTATTACTGTATTTTGTTAGTCTTCTAAAAGAGTAGCTAATTACATAAATTATTTTGCAATTTCTATTTCAAATGGATCCTGCAGAAGTAGAGTTTATTGATGTTTGATGCCAAAAAATAATTGTCAAAAAGCCTTTGTTGTGTCTGTCTCTAACTGTGCACTCTACTCTGTAATGCACACTAGCAATAATAGGCTTCACATGAATGTGAGTAGCCCACGATGCGCACTAATGCACCCTCATACCCGATCAAAAGCTGGCTTTTGAACAGTGTTCTCATAATTACCTGGGAAGGCTCAGTGCTCTTTAGCCTGGAGGATGATCTGGTCCTGGTTTCCACAGTTTCAAAGTATATTTTCTTTTTTTTTTTTTTTGCTGTCAGGCAGGATTTGATAAGAGTTTGAATCCAGATATGGCAGCAGCTACTCCCGATCCTAATTCTGTGATATAAGTGGTTGCAGATGATGGTTTTTGGGGTTCTTGCAGGGATTTCTGCAAAATCATCGCTAATGTATTCCTTCCTATTGGGTTGATTGGAACAAATAGATTAAAGCAATTTTCTATTTTTATAGGTGTTATTTTCTTATGAAGGCATATTTCTGATTATTTATCTGATTGTTTATTAATATTCATTGTAAATAATGAATTTCTTGAGTTCTTTGAAAAGCAATGTTTCGTGCAGTCACATCGTTTGGATTCATGGGTAATTTACTGTTAAATGAAAGCAACTAATCTTCACTAGGAATGGATGTGATTATCTCAGCCATCAGGATGATCTGGAAAGGAAAACTGAAGCACCATATGGCTGATATTTCACAAAGCCTCCTCCGCTTCTTTATTAACTATAACAGTACAAACACAATGAAGTAAAGTAAAGCTGATGAACATGATTCCTAGATGAATCGTAACAGAAAGCTCCCCTGAACCTACGCAGTTTAAACTCTGACCTGCAAATGTTAATTAGTAGCTGCTGGCTATTTTTTTTTTTTTTTTTTGTCTCCATTCTCTGACGTCAAGGACAGAGAATCTGTCAAGCACCTCACAGCGCTGGTACAAGCCTGACAACACAGGAAGGATGACACACTGCTGGACTGTGAGAATCCTAATGGCAGGTCTGGTTGGTAAGCCACAGTGAAACGGGGAAAAAATTGTCACAAAGATTTATTTTATAACAATGCCTTTTCTACCATGTCTTATAGAAAATATTAGTAATTAATAAAAGTTTTCTGCTTTCTGACCAATTCTTCTCAGCTAATTTGCAACTTATTTGCATCCCTTGTAAAAAGGTGTGTCGTTCAGTACAGTAGGGTAAACCTGTACAGTACAAAAGAGATTTGACACAGAGGTTTATTTGTCTAAGATAAGAAAACCTGATATTCAGTTTGGGAAATCTGGAGATGCTCACCTAAACCTGTCCATATCTGCAGTCAAAGCAATAATTATACATTCTAAGATATCTTGAACTGTGACAACCAAGGCTGGAAGAGGACTCGCTGCTATCTTCCCACCACATGCAGTAAACAGGATGGTAAAAGATGGAAACAAATCTCCACATCTCCAGCAGTTTGACTGGAGGTGGTGTAAGAAAAGAAAGTGTGTTGGTGGAGGATCTATGATGCTGTTGGCCTGTTTTTCCTCTCAAAGGCTCTGGGAACCTTAACATTTCATTTCATTATATCCTGGGGTCCCTCCCAGAATGCTGACAATTATTTGTCGTTAGACCTTTCAAACTATACAACTAAATCAACAAAATTACATTCTAAACATCTCTGTATTGTGAATTATTATAGCTGAAGACAAATTGTTGCCATATTAAGAGAAGGTTATGCAAGTTATTAACACCAGGGGGAGGCAATAAGTGTGGCACTCCTAAATAATTATTTCTCAATATGAATCTGTTTAATTGTGCTTGAATTATATTTTCTCATTTGGGGATTGCTTGATTAAAATGTCTTATTTTTTTAATTAATTAAAGATATTAAGAATTCTTAACAACTTTGAATCAACTTGATGACCTGAAAAAAAAAACCTACCATCTAATTTAGACCAAAGCAGTTTTGTTATTCAACATATGTTATGTTTTAAGGGTGGAAAACAGAAGAAAATTAAATTTTAAGCATTTTGTTACTGGATGAAAATTCATTCTAAGAGCTTGTGCAACACGGCTGCACCTCATTTGTGTGAATTTATTGAGTGTGAAGTCAAGAGGTGTGCTTCTGCTCCCCGTCTGAAATGGAGATCCGAGTTAATAGAATCGGGAGCAGCAGCCGTCTCTCCTCGCCGGATCCCGGCAGCTGAATCAGTGTGTTTTCATTTTGTGTTAGATGAAGAGGGGAAGCTGAGGAGGCAGAGAGGAGGCGAAAGCAGGGATGTTTGAAGGAGGGGAACAGCTTGTTAGAGAAAGAGAGAAAGGAGTAAGTGGAAAGCTCAGCTGCAGACTTGAACAGACTGCAGCGTCATACATATTACATGCATCAGATATTGCTCATATCAACACTTACTCACTGTTACTTGAGTGGAATAAAACTTCCAGATCCTCCAGGGATGATAAATATAAATCTGGAGAGCAAATGCATGGAGCTGTCGGAACCAAGCTGACATGTTTAACATGAGTGGATTTTAATCAGCAGATGAATCCATAAAAACCATAGAGCTCAAGGACGTTAGTGGAACTGAGTCTGCAGTAAAACATGAACTGTCCTCTACTGTTCTTTATCTGAGTTGGCTAGCCGGCTGCATTTATGTGTGTTGTGCAGCTTGAGAAGAGGAGGAGGAAAAAAGAAAAAGAAAGAGAGATTAGTTAATGCTTGCGAGCCTTAATGTTAGCAAAGTTTAATAAAAGGTTAATTTTCTCCTGATGTAAGCTTAATTTGGCAGGTGCTGCAGATTTCAGTGTAGTAATTGCAACATTGTTGAAGAAAATCCATCTTTAAAGCTCCCTGTGATCAGTTATAAGTGCCTGCACACTTCTTGCTCAAAGTTCATTGGGTTTATTCAGTTGATATTGGGCTTAAAACGCATAGGAGTGGTGATTTGATCCACTGCCACAGGCACACTAAAGAAAACTACTAAATCCGGTTTATTTAGGTTGACAAAGGTTTAATAGACATCAGAATTACACATGTCCTCTGGCATTAGCAAACTTTTTCAGATTAGAACATTTTAACAGGTTTAAACAGATTCTGCATCATTTGGGTTGCAAGAAGTTCAACCTTACCACTTAAAGCAAAGATAGATTGTTTGCTTTAAGTGGCAAACAATCTGTCTTGGCTCCAAACAATTTTTTAAAAATATATCTAGCCATTCTGGTTGCTCTGTATGTCTTCACTAACTTTTCCCTAACTTGTTGTTGTTTTGGTCTGAAATGCATGCAGTGTCCTCACATATGGGTAAAATGTTTTACTACAGCTGCATATATTACAAGTAAACACCTTTTTTCTCCTATTCCTGTCACTTTTTGACAAAAACATGCAAATAAAGGGGTAAATCGAACTTTCTCAAAACATGTCTGATGCTTGATGCTTTCTGTGATCTGTGCATGTAAACTTCTTTTTTGGGAGTTTCGATTTTTGTATTTATTAACAATGACAGACAACAAAACACCACAACAATATAAAATTGTTATCCGTGGCCTGTTGTTGAAAAGATGTCAAACTATATTTTAAAGTAGATTTGAGTTATTTTACAGAAATCTGTGGCTGGTAGCTTCAATCGTGCTGGTGCTGTCTTTAAAAGACACAAACAAACCAGTTCATGTATCCTTTGTTTTCTATCCTGGGCACAGACAGAAGGCCTATTCAACCCGGCATCCATGCAGGTTGCCTTGACAACAAATAGTCAAGGCTGCTGGACAGTAGCACAGGATGAGGCTAGCTCATAGACCTCTTTGACAGTCAGCGTTTTTGACGTATCATGGAAGCAGAGGCCCAGGTCAACACAACAGAATAAAATATCTCAACTGAACACAAACCATATTTCTTCTACTATCCCTGCTTCAATTGTTTTTAATCACACTGAAAAAAAAACAATTTGCATTCTTTAACCTTTGAACTCAGTTATGTCTTCTGTGAAAGCTGTGGTTCAACTGAATCCTAACATGAGCTGGAATAATGAGTAAATTATTTGTAGGAGGGAATGCATTAAAACAAAACTCTGAAACTTTCATCTCAGATGAGGTTTAAGACACAACTTAAGATTCCTGCTGCAGACCAAGCTTAATTACAGTGTCATCATTTGAGATGAACAAATTAGAGTTAGTTTTTTTTTTCTAAGTATACGAGTTAACTGGACTAGAAGAAAGACATTATTTTTGTTTTCCACCAGAAAAATTTGAAGGATTATGTGTGAAAATACACATTATGTTATGGAGTAAGATAATGAGCCAAAGCACATCAATAATTCCTCCTCCTCATAACTCAAGAAACAAAATTAAGATTTTAAGGTCCTGTCAAAAAAAAGGTCTAAATTTAGATGCTGTGGTTTGCTCATAAACAGGTAGTTCATGCTTGAAAACTCCTTCACATCGATTTAAAAGACTCCTTGTCATTTCGCCTGATGAGAGTCGGTGATGAAACCAGTTATTAGGTTTGGGGGGCAAATATTTTCACATGGGGCCTGAATGTGTTTGACAGCTTTTGCCCTATTATGCATCTCTCTTCTCATTAGAGAGAAAGTTGTTAAAGTTGATCAAACTAATTTGATAGTTTGATCTGAAACATGTAAGCATCTGGATTTTAGAACAATTAAGGAATAATTCACTTTCAGCGTGGGCACCCATGTTTTCTTTTTTTTTTTTTTGCTGAAGTTACTTGAATTTTTGACAATGTGTTCATGCACATAAAGTGTGTTTGTGCAAACGTGCCACGGCAGGAGACAAGAGACCGGGGTGTGCGTGTGTGTGTGTCTGTGTGACGACGGTACACGGGGAGGAAGAGAGGGAGCGACGCGGATGACACGCATACACTCTCCCTGCTTCTCACATACGGAGGAGAGAGGGACAGAGAGGGAGACAAGAGTGGAGAGACGCGGAGCAGAGGGGAAAGCGCACGGAGAGATCAGCGGAGAAATGCCCGCTGGACGGATGGATTTTATTCTCCCTGAGCTGTACGAGCCTTTGTAAGACAACATGGGCTGCATTGGATCCCGGACGATCAGTAAGGACACGCCGCTTTCTATTCTACCATGTGGATGGATGGATGGATGGATGGATGGGTGCGCTGAGAGAATGAAAAGGCGGAGGAATTCATTTTTAAAGAAGTGAAATACACGTTTATTATATCCCTAGAGTTGGTTTGCAGCGAGTTGTGGCTACAGAAGAGGGTTTTTTTCTGTCTTTTTTGGGGTGCAGTGAATGTATAGTTTACTGTAGGAATTACTGTAGCACCTCAGTGTGCGTGCGTGTGTTTTGGGGTGTTTGTGAGGAGGGGAGAGGCTGGACAGACAGGCGGCAGGGATGTGAGCAGAATAAGATACCGCTTGACGTTTTTCCTCTCCACATGGATGACACCGGACATGCGGCCAAGGCGCGCGCTTCTCTGTGACAGACAAGGAGAAAGAGGGAGGGATGGAGAGAGACCTCCGCCTTGACACGCCGCTAAGGTCATTCCATGCTGGGTGTCTGAGAAAATTCCCCCTCCTTCCTCCCCTTCCTGTCTCCTCCTTCCATCTTCCACTCGCTCTCACCCCTTCTCTCCTTCCAGTCCTTCCTCCCTCCATCCTACCCTCCTGTCTCTCTACTGTGCGTCATGCAGCGACGTAATATATCGAAGATACAGGGTGCACCCCCCCCCCACACACACACACACACACGCATTCACTGACACTCCGGGTTATAAGAGGGAGGCTTGGTGATTGACTCTAACAGGATGACTCAGAACCTGGCTGGGTAAACTCAGGTGTGAGCCTTAAACGCTCTGCGCAGGTCAATTCTGCAAAGTCAAAGGTGGAAACTGCTCACACACTATTCTCTGCTACTGATTGAAGACCCTAGCTTTATTCATTAACTTTATTTAACCGGCATCCGTCGGTTCATCTTCGCTGGGAAACATGGCAAACTGTAGCTCTCTTTTTATCTTGGTTGTGTGTCTTTAGGTTGAGTTCTTGAGTCGCTGCTGGTTTCAGCTGCACGCAGCTGATGAGGCTTGGATTTAGCACAGATTAGTTGCACCTGAAACTTTCTATAAAATCAATTCAACTCACTTTACATATAGATTGCTACCTACAGCAGTGTTTTCCGGTCAGTGGTTCCATTTTCTTGTAAATGATTATTTGATACCCTTCTAAAGAAGCTTCATGTGCACATCGCTCTTCTGACATCACATGAGGTACCTTATCAGAGTTCTTTTGCATTTGAATGCTTTCAGTCATATTCCTCTTTAGGAACCAGTCCCTTGTTCTACACTTAGCTTTGTACAGAAGGTCTGGTCACTCAGCTGTTCAAAATGGATTGGTTACTGGAGGCTGTTTAAGTTTTTAACGATTGGATCTCATATTATCCAATTGCTAACATTTGGCCAGGATGTATTAAAGCTTGATTGTGAAGGAAGCTCTCTCTCTCTCTCTCTCTCTCTCTCTCTCTCTCTCTTTCTCTCTTCTCTCTCTCTCAGCCAAAGAAGTTGATGTTTGCTATTAAATAAAGTAGCCCATGTTACCTTTTCTTGCACTTAAATGCTCATTGTTAACCTGGTAAATGATCAGAAACTTCATGCAAGCTTTGGGAGGGGACAGTCTTCACCATGCAAGACTCTGGACATTTTGCAGATATAAAATCTTCAGGTTTTGTAGACTGTATCCTGCAGACTTTCCCTACTTTTATATTTGCTCTGCTAAGCTGTTGGAGTCTTGCACACTCATCAAGATCATAGTTTTGAGAGAATTTCTCCTGCTAGGCTTTAACCCATGTGCTTTTATATGAGGCATAGCTGTTCGGAAGGCACATTTGTGCCAAATGTTAATGCTGGAAAAAGAAAATAAATGATTAATTGTCTCTCAGTTATGTGCTGTTTTCCACCATCTGACTTTTTTTTAAAGCCAGATCAGAAAACCTTGGGACAACAGTGTGCTTTCAAGGTTCTCCGCCACACATCTACTTCGGCATAAACAGTTTTTAGGCCTCCCAACATAACATTTTGAATGTTGTAATAATGTGTGTCATTATGAATAAATCTGGCTGAAAGGCATACTGTCATTGCCAAACTGTATAATAGCTTCACTATTGAGCAGCATCTGCAATCTCAAGGAAATGAAAAGCTTTAAAACACTGATTGAGTATACCTATTGAAAAACATGTCTTTATTTTTTTAGAATCATATCCATTTGAAGTCTAAGGTGCTGTTTTGAATGAAGAATATATCAGTCAGTTCTTGTGATCCTGTTCATATAAACGTTTGTGCCACTGACTTTGTATATTGCCAAATGAAATATAGTATGCATTGAAACACAAACTACTGACAGTTTAGGGCCTAAAATCTGTGGAGAGAGCTAAAGATAAAGTTATGGGAAGGAGGTTTTCTGACCTCAAAGACTTAGAGCTCATTTTAAAAGATCAGTTTTCAAAAATGCTAGTGAAAACATCTAAAAAGCTTTTTAGATAATATAAAAGCCTTAGTTAAGTATTTGTCTTTGCAAGGACAAAGCCTGAACATCAAAAAAAAAAAAAAATCTTAAGAACTGCAGAAAAATGAAAGTGTTTGCATGTTTCAATTGTAAAATTTGTCCTCACAAAATATAAACTTATAGTTTAGAGATCTTTTCACAACAAACACTAAGATCCAACAGACTGACTTCAAACTGCTGTCAAAGTAAAGTGTGGTCGCCCCTTCAAATGTGTGTATTGTCAGTTTCCATTATGTGGAGCATGCAGCTGTAGTGTCCTGTCTTCACATGCTCATATATTAAGACACACACATTGTAGCAGTGGACCATCAACCCCCACCCAAAGCCTGTCTGTTAATGCACCATCAAAGCCTCATCAGGTCCTTTATGATAACAAATGGAGGCAGCTGGAGGATTTCAATAAATAAAAGGAAGGACAATGTGACCTTTGGTTGTCATTGAGCTGGCTGGATGGAGGATGTTGAGGATGGGGGAGGTGTATTAGTGGTGACTGCTGTGGAATGACACAGAGGGCTTTTTGGGGATAGAGGGTTGAGGTGTGAAGAGTCAAATACATGCTGGTGGGTTTTTTTTCTTCCCTTTCTTAGTTTCATAAGTGGGTTTTCTCGTCTCCTCTGGCTCTCTCCCTATCTCTCCCCTGCTCTCTTCTCCCTATTTGCAGTGTTATGAGTAGATAAAATCATACTATATGAACAATGTGCTCAGCATCTTCTTTTTTTCATGTTTAAAAATTAAACTGAATGAGCAAATAGAACGCGCTATTACAGGGTGACTTCATAGATTACGTTTTTTACATCATATACCTGCCCAGAGATCTAACTGAAAGTACTTAGATTTTTATCCACATTTTTGTTCCTGTGTGGAAAACGCAAGGATTTGTTACTTTGCTGCACTGAAGGTGCAAAACCTATTTTTTACTGTACATTAAAAGAAATGTTTTAACTCATCACCAAATATGTAAGTAATAAATTAATTACATAAGTTATTAGGTAAAGCATTTGATTCTGCTTGAACATAGCATAAGAAGTTATCTAAAAGGAAAATGTAACAGGAATCTGCTGGAGGTCATTTTGATGTTTTGCTATTTTGTACTTTTCTTATTTTGATCGTTTCATTTCCAGATAGTTGTCTGCCAAAAGATGCACCTTTTTACTGCTCTGATCTAGAGTTTTCAAGATTGTCAAAGTGTGAACTGGTTTGTTAAAAATATGCAGCTGGTAAACATTGGTGTTGGTTTTTACACAGATCACAAATTTTTAAATGAATAGTGAATGTCTGCATTTGACCCTGTTTTTTATGTGCATATTATCTATATTGGATTCAGGTTAAGGTCAGAAACCACATTTAAAAAAAAAAAAAAAAAATCAGGTTTCTGTTTTTACATGGCATTCCAGTTGATTTTTAAAAATGGAACTTTAAATGACTTCAAAATTCTAATTGAACACACTGTTGTGTACACACAAATGTGTGTATTGTCAGTTTCCATTATGTGGAGCATGCAGCTGTAGTGTCCTGTCTTCACATGCACATTTTGAAGAGTATGCATCATACTCTTCAAAAAGGAAGAGTATGATGCATAAGGCATCATACTCTTCCTTTTTGAATTATATATTCCTATGCAGGAAGGTTCTACTGGGAAAAAAAATCTACAGGTATTCTGAGGTATTTATAGTTTTTGTGGTAATGTTGCCCATCTTCTGTTTCCTCCATGTTTAGCCAGACACTACTTCTTCATAAGAATGTGAATTCATGCAAGGATGCACACAGTATCAAGCTCAAACATCTTCAGTGGTTACAAACAGAAAGTCTGATTGCAACTATATTAATTAACCTGGACTTGTAGATTGCCAACAGCATGATGAGACCTCAACGTGGCTGAAAAATGAACTTTGATTTAATCATTTTTGTTTGTTGCTTAGCAAGAAAAGTTTTTCTACCTTGTGCCAGCAACTTAAAAACATATCAGTTTAGTGTGATTAAAGCTTTTTCTTCATCTGCTTTTTTTTGTTGTTGCAAATATCTGATGTTGAGATATCACCAAAGATTAATGTCTGATTGGTGAACAAATTCATGTCAGAGAATGTTCTGAATCTTCTTTTGTTCATTTGAGGTATTCAGAATAAAATTGTAATGCATAACATATTGAGACATGATTATGAAAACTATAATGAGAAGCTCTTGTTTTGATACTCAGTACAGCAGCAGCCATTTTGAAGAATGGAGACTCAGAATTTCTTATTGAGCACCGTCACCCTCAACAAAACTGAAGACAGGTGTTCAGTCTTCATTTACCTTCTTATGTCCAAACACCACAATATGGCAAACACCACAGATAGCATAAAAGTACTATTGAATAGAAGAAGAAATGTTGCAAGCCTCAGAGGTAACCAGCATGACAAAGCTCGTTAAAACAGTCCAAGTGACTAGACACCACCCCTTTCCTCCAGCTTACTGCCTGCAGAATAGCTCCTGCTGTGTTTCTTCTGAGCCACATCTATTCTAATATTATCCCTGAGAGCGAGCGTCTGCCGCTAAAAAT